AGTTGTATCGAGTCGTGCCATGTTGTGTTGTGCTGAGTCAAGTCTTGTCGTGCCGTGCCGAGTTGTATCGAGTCAAGTCTTGTCGTGCCGTGCTGAGTTGTATTGAGTTGTGCCATGCTGTGTTGTGCTGAGTCAAGTCTTGTCATGCCGTGCCGAGTTGTATCGAGTCGTGCCATGTTGTGTTGTGCTGAGTCAAGTCGTGCCGGGTCGTGCCGGGTCCTGAGACAAAGGGTGAGGCAGCAGTGAGACACTCAGGGGTGGAGAAGAGCGCTGACCTTGCAGCAGACACAGAAGGCCTTGAGCGGGTTGAGCCCCAGCCAGCCGCTGTTGCCCGCCTCCCGGAAGCGGTTCATGAACTCGGAGTAGAGGGCCCGCTGGAGGGGCGACAGGCGCACCAAGATCACGTGCTCCTCCTTGGAAGGGAGGTGGGTCTTCAGCACATCGTGACCTCGCCTGCCAACAACAAGCACACAACGCCAATCAGACATCGACGTGCAGCAACGGACATCAGAGAGCATGGGACCGGTCACCGCTCGGCCCATCTGGCACGTTTAGTAGATAGCTGCCGATTGATCCCGGGATCTCAAGAAACTCAGGTAAAGCGCGACGTATATTTGAACACACGGTCTTCCACACTGCGGATTTTGCGAGGGTGGTGACCCGGTGAACGATCATGACAGAATGCAGGTCAACTGTTCGGTCCTTAGTGGCCTGTGCACACTTCGGCATGCGGGATGCGGAGGAGAGAGAGAGAGGAGTTTTTCCACGCAAGCAGGGCAGCCAGCAGGCACGGGCGGGAGGCTCACCTCTGCACGAAGCCCTCCAGCAGGCTGTGGAGCACGTGGCTGCGGTACCGCATGAGGCGCACGTCCTGGGGCGTGCTGTCGATGCACTGCCCGTTCAGGATGGGGCGCTCGAACATGTTGCTGAACTCCTGCCGGGTGCCCAGGAAGTCGGGCCGCACGAAGTCCACCATGCACCAGTACTCGATGAGGTTGTTCTGCAGCGGGTAGCCGGTGAGCACCACGCGCCGCCTCGACCGGATGCTCTTCAGCGCCTGGGAGGTGCTGGCGTGGCAGTTCTTGATGCGGTGCCCCTCGTCGCAGATCACCACGTCCGGCCCGGGCCTCGACAGCGCCTTCTCGATCCCTGGGCGGCACCGACACAAGCTGGGTTGCAGGAAAAGCCCGGACCACAGAGGCACAGACCAGTACGTCAACTGGCCCCCCACTCTCGTCTTCACACATTACACACGTCGGGAAGGATGTCCCGACGCAGAACAAGCTCCCCGTCACCTTTCCCTCCACGTTTTTGAATGTGTTTTCGATTGACCCCGACCAGACTTTCAATGGTAAAATCTACACTGTCACAGATGTAGAATGATCCTGCTCTCTGTTCTAAGCAAGGGTAACCTTTAACCCTTAAGTTTAACTCGCTCACTCTGACTTGACTCCCGAGTTTCAATTATTCACGGTGCCTCATGAATTGTAAAAATAAATCATCCACCCTGAAATGTGAAAGCAGAACAGAAATGCACTTAGATGCCCATCTGCTCGGAGGGCGGTGCAGAGGGGGCCGCCTGACCTTTGAGCAGCTCCTGCTGTCGGTCTTCCTCGTCCAGGTCGATGATGACGGGACCGGTCGGCTTCTTGGACTTCTTCCTCCTTCCCGACACAAAGCTCTTTTTGAGCGACAGGAGACGGTACATCTCGTAGCCCATCAGCAGCACGCCGCCGTCCGCGGACCAGTCGCTGATCACCTTGGCCCGAGCGGCCGTCGTCCTAAAGAAGAAGAGTGTGAGGTCAAAGGTCACATAGGGGTTCAGGGTCAAAGGTCACATGAGTGTGGGGTCAGAGGTCACAGGAGAGTGACAAACATCTCACGGCCAAGTCCAGGCCCCATTCACAACCTTGACTGTGGCCAAGCATGAGAATTTTTCAGTTCAGTCCATATTACCCACGTCTTATCACATCTGAAAACAAATGGCAACAAATTAACATGCGTGCAAGCCATCCTTTTGCTTCAGAAACAATCGAAAACCTTCATGTAAGGGTTTGGCATGAAGATTAAGTAGAAACTTAGCAGACAAAACTAATGAAATGATCACTCATGCATTTTCAAGAGGAAGTCAATAGGAACACTTAGTTAGAAGTGGCACTTGAGTACAAAAAATATTATTTTGATATCTTGCTCTAGTAACACACACTTCATGCCTTGCAGAATACCAACAGATACTTTTGATGGCAGCCTCACCTTAAGGGCTATCAAGTTATTTTTTGCATTCCATGTTTTACAATTGAGTATACTGTACTAACCCATGTTCTGAGCAGGAGAACTAAGAGATGCTCTTTTTCAGGATAAAGCTACATGGCCTTGCTAAGATTCAGAGAGCATGTACAGGCATGGTGAACACAATTTGATGAAACATACATGGAGATTAGTTATCTGGCTAAACTAAAAGTCAAGCATAAACACACTGTGGGCAGTAAAGAATTGGAAAGAAATCAGAGCAGGACACAAAGTCTAAAAATGATCAACTCATGCCCCTGCTTAAGGGGGCTGATGTTGGACTGAAGGAACTTGATCTCTTCAGTCCCAGTTAAAGATGTCTGAGACGAGGCTGGACTGACATTTTCAGTCTTTAAGGAAGCTAAAAAGGTGGGACCTGGTGCCGTCTTCAATTACATTTAATCAAGCAGACAAAGGACAAAGAAACCCAACGGACGTCACTAGAGCACTGGTGTGAGAACGTTTCACATTCAGTATCAATGTAAGGAACACATTAGCAAGCTGTGCCGTAAAGGAATAGGCTGTTCTTTCCAAACCAACTGCAGGGCTGCGACGGAATCATGCCATGTTTAGGAATGAAAATCTAAAAAACTCAAAATGTTCTCGTCTAACTTCGATTTCGCGCAGCCATCGGCGGGAAATAAAAAAAAAAAGCCCACGAGGTACGCACTTGTGCTCGTCGTTCAGGATGTGGACTTTGAAAGTGCGGGGGAGGTGTTCGCTGGGGTCAGTGTCCGGGGGCAAGCTCTCCGGGGCGGGCAGCCACAGGTTGAATTCGGCCATCCAGTTCTGCAGCGTGTTCACCTGGCAGCCAAGAGAGGAGCAGAATAACCTCGCACGGCATTTCTCAACGCGCCGTTTTAACACTAGGTTAAAAATGCAACAGAGAGGCTCCCCGCTCTCTTCAAAGTCAGTTAGCTTCGACTCTACTCCCTTTTCCAGTGTGGCCTGAATATATGTAAAGCCAGAACATGTAAAACTAATGATGAACACTAACTTCAAGGAACTGGTTTTGGGAGACAACACAGTGAATACTAATAGTACACCCATTCCTCGATTTACAAACACCAGGTTTTTACGTTTTGGTATAAAGAAAGTGCGTATTTTCATCCCAGGGTTCTCGTTCTCAAACCGAGAGACTGGGCGCCTACAAGAGGAAGGAGAAGAGGAGGGAGGACACTGTGGATGGGTGTGACTGGCCGGAGTGTGGGGTCACTCACGGGGACGATGGCCAGCACGGTGTGGGCGCTGGTGTGGCGCAGGAGGACGTCTATGAAGGAGATGACCTGCAGGGTCTTCCCCAGGCCCATGCTGTGTGCCAGGATACAGCCGAAGCCACAGCTGGTTTTGTAGCGCTCCAGAGACTCCACCAGGTTATCATAGAGGAACCGAATGCCACCGATCTGCAGGAGAGGAGGAAGGAACACAATGTCTGGTAGGCCACCGACCCCATCTTAACCACAGGCCGACTCGTGCTTGCAGCAGATACTCGAGACATCAGACACCGCAGGGCACAGGATCGTGAGGTCAGAGGTCAGTGGCATTCGCACAGTGACAAGAGTCTCACTGCCAGGTCCAAGGCCCACTCAGAACCCCGACTGTGGCTTAATTAGAATTAAGCCACTTCATCTGGCAGTCAAGAGAGCAAGATATCAACCCTAGACTATATTTCTCAAAGCGTCGTTTGAACACTATGAAAAACTCATGACACCAGGACAAGGCTATTGCCATGCTAGGACAAAAATCAGAAGTTCAACATACAAGAAAATAACGCCACCTGCCCTCCTCTGGGTGAGTCAGCGAAGGTTACTCCTTCTGCAGGTGTGGCTTTTGAAAAGACAGTACTTTTGTACAGTACGTAAAGGCCTGAACGCACAGCCTAATTGTGAACACAAAGTTATCACGTAACTCACGTAAAAAAAAAAAACCAACAGCGCCCACCCATTAAGGCAGACTAAAACCGAGAGAACACTAATGGTCAAAGTGCTGGTGAGAGCAGAAGCGATTCTAAGCGGCGCCTGCCCTGTAGGAGGCGCTGCTAGCTCCAGGCGGGCCGGTACCTGGTGTGGCTTGACGGCGCGGGCGAGCTGGGGGGCGAGGAACAGGTCCCTCTCGGTGGAGGGGTGGTTGATGTTGACGAGCACGCGGCCCTGGGCGTCGGGCTGGTTCAGGGCGTCGTTGACGTGCGCCCCGCTGCTCTCCTCCGACCCGGGCGTGGCGGACCGGTCCTCCTCCTCGGTGGCGGATTCGCTGCTGATCTGCAGGGCGTCGTCCTCGCCCGAGCTCAGCTCGATCACGTCTGCGCGGGACACGACACGGGGCTCACACACACGCACGCACGGGCCGCAAGTCAGCGCCACCCCCCTGCCCGCCTCCTCATCCACCCTACAGGGCCTGAAACAGCCCCAAGATCAATTCCCACGCGCTCCCCCGTCCGGAACCCACACCGCGCCAAACCCCGCGAGCACGCTCGAGTCGGGCACTGCGCTGGCGCGTGCCGCCAACAGGGCCCCAGCACTGGGCAGTCCTGCTTCCAGGTGTCACACCTGGAGAAGGATCAGCAGCCCGAATGTCCCTGGTCTCTTTTTCAGACAAGAATTAACCTGGATTTGAGTGCATTTCCAATATTTTTAGAGCTCTTTCAAGAGGTTAATCAACAGGGTGCAAGTCATATGCACTACAGGTGGCCATTTGGCGACCAGTGACACAACCTTAGGTCAACTTGTTTTACTTCAGAGGTTAAAAAAAAAAAAACAGCAGAGCCGTTATGCAACACCGTTGAACGGTTGGTTATACAACTAGGATTAGCGGAAGAACCAGTTGTATAAGCCCAGCAAAATGACAGAGCTTGGTAAGTGGTGTGCAAACTGGATGAATGACACTAATTGTACCATCTTGCTGAAAGCACATTCACGTAAGAGTCTCCTGTCCCTTAATGACACATGCATCTCTCCACAAAAGAGGGGCAACGGGCTACTGAGCCAAGGTCAGCAGTGTGCAGAAATCCCCGTCCGCTCTGTGCTGAAGCTGGGCACAGAACGTGAAAGCTGGACGCACTACACGACCAAACCCTCATTTGAGAGCCCGTGCAGTAAATCGGCATGAATAATTTCACACTTGGCAGTGATGTGAGGGGAAGCCTAAGTTAAAGAAGATTTCAAAAGTACTCTTCCTTAACTTTCAATCTACGTGCGGTTTGCCTTCTAAAATCTAACCGAAAAAAGACCCGACAGCACATACTTGCAGGGTAATGTCTTGAAGTGACAGGCGTGAGTTTATCGGGGATATACCGCCACAGAGTAAACTACACATTTAGCACAACTACAGATGGGGATCACACGGCAATACCGCACGGGCAGAAACTACTGGAATCACCAGTCACAGGAAGGCAAGACAACCTTTCTCCCGACAGCAGGATTCTCCTGGCGAGAAAACCTGGTGGAGCAAAGACCCGCGTCGCAAGAGGCCGTCGCTGTGTGGCAGTGGGGCGTGGCTCGTGGGTCTCTCACCGTCTTTCGTGGCGCGAAAGGCTCCCTTTGTGTCATCCTCGCTGGCGCTGCTGCTGCCGCTGCTGCCGCTGCTGCTGCTGTTACTGGTGTCCAGGCAGATCACTTCCTGTTTGGCCACATGGCACGTGCTTTGGGACACCTCGCCAGCCCTCAGGACCTCCTCCCCTGAGGGACAGAGACGCGACCGTGAGCGACGCAGTACTCGTTCACGGAACAGCTCAAGGGGAATCTCGCGGACCGGGCTTCTTCAAGCGCGAGAAAAAACAAAAGGCTCGTTGGAGAGAAAGCACGTGTTGCGACAGGTTCAACCGCAGATCCTCACCTCGCGGGATTCAGGAGGGACCCCGGATCGATCAGCTCTGCTGGCCTTCAGCAGACTTTGGGAGTCTTTCTGCGATACTGGGATAACTCTAGCGTCACCATCTTTTCTCTTCAGTCCTGAAACACCTTACCATCTCCAAACAGGCTGCTCCAGCCCTGGTTGGGCCTAATTATTCCCCTAAACCCCAGGTAGTTTTTTAGGGCCATAGCGCATCAGAGTCACGCCCAGTAATGGGCCATCAGCAGCCTGCCCGCGGGGCGCGCCTGCCAGGCTCACCTTGAATGAAGTCTGCGGGAGGCGCGGGGAAGTCTTTCCTCTGCTGTTCCAGCCGCTTCCGCCTCTCCAGCTCCTCCTGCTGGGCAGCTTTGGTTACTGCTTCTAGCTGGTGCTCTCTCAGGAGCTTTCTGCACAGTTTCAGGGAGAGAGGGAGAGACAGAATAATAATAATAATAAAATAATAATAATAATAATAATAATAATTGCTTACACTTATATAGCGCTTTACAGGTAATGAGGACTCCCCTCCACCACCACCAATGTGCAGCATCCACCTGGATGATGCGACGGCAGCCATAGTGCGCCAGAACGCTCACCACACACCAGCGATCAGTGGGGAGGAGGGCAGAGGGATGAAGCCAGTTCATAGAGGGGGAGTATTAGGAGGCCATGACTGGTAAGGGCCAATGGGAAATTTGGCCAGGACGCCGGGGTTACACCCCTACTCTTTTAGAGAAACGCCCTGGGATTTTTAATGACCACAGAGAGTCGGGACCTCGGTTTGACGTCTCATCCGAAGGACGGCGCCTGTTTACAGTATAGTGTCCCCGTCACTATACTGGGGCATTAGGACCCACACGGACTGCAGGTTGAGCGCCCCCTGCTGGCCCCACTAACACCTCTTCCAGCAGCAACCTTAGTTTTTCCCAGGAGGTCTCCCATCCAGGTACTGACCAGGCTCACACCTGCTTCGCTTCAGTGGGCTGCCAATTCAGAACTCGGAACTCAGAACACAAGCAAGGAGACCGTTTACAACTCAGTGTGCTCCATTTTCTCGTCAAGGCCAAGAAGTATCCATCAAGATCAGAACCGGAAAACGCTGGCGGAAAGCTCAGCTTCTTCAGGAAAAGTAAAAGTGTCCTTTGTTCTAAAGGAGGGTGGATTTTGCACGTCCACACATACATGCGGAGGTTAAAAAGTGCTTGTGGCACCTTCTGTATGCCTAGATTGTCCACTGCAGCTGCTGCACAGAGCGCATGGCTTCACTCGCAAGAGAAGCAGCATGTTTAAACACCCCATGCCCAAAGACAGCAGCGTACCAGACAGGGTGCTGACGAATGGGGACACCCACTCATCCCCACCGTGTGCCGAGCGAGTGCCGGGACTTGCCTGATATTCCTCCTCATGTGCGCCGGCTTGGACACCCTTTTCTTCTTGGCGCCGAGGGCGAGCGAGCCCTTGCTCTCCCCGTTGGAGGGGGGCCGCGGGGTCTCGCCCGGGGGTGAGGTAGATGGTGGGGTGCGCTGCCACCCCAGGGCGTCCCCCCGAGCATCGTTCTCTGCGCCGTAAGGGGCCGCCTGGGGCTGGTCTGCAACAGGTGGGCAGAAGGAGAAGGAGAGTTAGGGAATTAAAGGGATAAACACTGAGGCTACAGGGCCTGTAAGAAATGTGCTGCGGCCTCCCAGCTTTACGCATTGAATCAAACCCAAAGGGCAACTGGACGAAGGAGCAGAAACGGCTTGACCTTCTTTTTCCAATGTCCTCGCAGGCCTGTGCTCACCTAGACCAGAGCGTGTCCTCTGCTCCACCACCGCACGGGTAGGGATAGTGTCTCGAGCAGGCCGTTTCGCACAGCTGGACGGAGGCACGACACTTTTAAAGATAAGGTGGCCACGAAGGCGCTAAACGTCGCGGACCTTCTCCCACGACCTCACAGGTGTCGGGCAAGCAGGTGTATGCAAGGGAGCCGACGATGCAAGAACAGATCAAACGCTCGGCCCAGAACCCAAGTTAAGACGTGCATCTGGGCTTCCCTACCAAATCAAATCGCCTGCTGCGCTGAAATAAAAGACTCTCTCCCCAACAGGTTATGCAAGAGCTCATGAATATTTACCAGTTATGAAACAAAGCCCTCGGAACGGGGCGGTGCGGTATGGGGCGGGATGTGGCTGGGATTTTACACGGTCAAGGTTACAGCACAGGGAAAAAGTTGGCGGAATCTGAAATGCTACCACCCCCCACCTCCCCCAGCACACACTCATACTGCTGGAGAAAGGGCCTGGCCCCACCCCCCCCCTCCTCACCCCCGAGGTTAAACACCAGAGCGAACACAGAGCACGCACACACACACACACACCTGACAACGGCTGGGCAGGAAGATAAATGACTTATATAACTTGTGGGTGGCAGAGTGATTCCTCGACAGATGACGTAAAAGAAGATAATTCACCCCCACTCTCCACAAATCACTTTTACATAAAGCCACCCGAGCGCAGCTTTCATTTTTCCGATTATTTCTGGGCGCATCTCCGCGGGCCCGCTTCAGTTGATAAACTGCACAGCTTGGCTCATTCTTCCTTTAAGACAAACCTGCGCAGATTTTGAACTCATCAACGGGTTGAAAGGCCCCCTGTTCTGTGTAACCTATCTCAGGTTCTCCTGAGTTTTTTTAACAGAAAAAAACAGACTCAATCTTAGAAACTATAGGGTAATAGAAGAGAAAATTTTGTGACCAAGTGACCAAGATTATTTCTAGATTTACGCAATGCTTCTGATTATGCTTGGTCTCAGAAGGAGTCTATTTAATGGTACACCACTATTGAAATGAAGAGTGTTACGTATTATTGAAAAAAGATGAAGATAACCTAGTGAACCTGTATGTGAAGGTGTGTTAATAAACAGGACATTCAAATCCTTCATAAATAAATAATACCTGGCTTACGTCTGACTACAAAAAATAATTACCAGTGGTGGTAGAACTTTGATGGTACAGATGTTCACAAACTGACAAACTGATGATTTAAGAGTTACCCATAAAACCTCGGTAAGCCCAGGCTTACCCCCTACTGCAAAGCAACAGATTCAGCAGAAACAAAGGGAAATAGTTCTGTTTTGTGCATCTGTATCTCTCTAACTATAAAGCATGACACGGAAGAAAAAACTCCCTTGCTCTGGGAGGAATATCAAGACACGTATGTCATTAGTGCAGATAAGTTTACAAAAACCCTTCTCCTCCTCTCAGTTCACACAGTTTTATTCTGCTCTAAAGGACACTTGCATAACTGTACTTGAAAGGCAAGAACACTCACTGGTGTCAGACAGAACACGTTCTGGATTCCTTTCTGCAGGCAGTCAGAAGCTGGGGTGACTGGTCTGAAGTTAAGCAGTCGGGATCCTGCCCAGCCTTTGTTCTTTTTTTAGCCAGATGGTGTCACACTATTAATGGAAATCGGACTTCTGCTCCCGGCCGTGAGACAGCACACCACAATGTCCAGATCTTTTGGTACCGCATAGTAAGAAATGTGCTGCGTTCTCCCAGATTTGAGTTTTGAAATCAACACAAAAGAGCAACCAGACAAAGGAGAAGAAATGGCTTCAATCTTCAATATTCTCACAGAGCTGTGCTCACTTAGATTGGAGTACTTGGCCGAAGACTGAAGCATAATATAGGATTACTTTCCAGCACAGAAAAGAGAGAATCCTGGACTTCATAATTGCACAAATCAAGACACCATGACCTCACGGTCTAACGAGCTAGAGATTAATCCTAGTTGTTTTAGACGGCACTGCTTGCTAACCTTCAAGCAGGTCAGTACCTCTTATTCGTATTGTCATGTTCACCAGCAATGTGGAGTACCCCTCTTGCCTGCTTCCTCACATTGCGATGCTAAAAGTGGGAAAGCACAAAACCCTTCATAGATCCTAAAACGCAGCAGTAGAAATGGTTTCAAATTCGGTAAAAAAAAAAACAGGGACCTTAACCAAAAGCATTAATGCGAAAGAAAAAGTACAACCATTGTTTAAGCTGAAGCCTTTTTTAAGCGTCCTGTATCTTTTTCAATTTACCGTTCAAAAGCATGTTGTAGACACGCACTTGCAACATGCACTGTGCAAGTCTGCAGAAACAGAAAGGTCTTGTAAACTGTACGGATGCACTGGTTGAGAAATGTAAAAGTCTTTGTAACCAGGAGCAGCTGTTCAGCCCTAGGCACTGCTGTAGAGCCACTTCCTCAGTCCCTGTGAGAAACGGAGGACAATTCAGCTAAACAAGCTCTCCATCCCTCCACTGGTCTTTCACAACCTTTTCTGGAGACAGGCAGCCTACAGCCAGCCCTGTCCTGCCTGTGTGAAAGTGGCACGATGCCCTGATCATGCCTGCCTGGTGGGTAACACTCACTGGCACACAAGTCAAACAATTAGGCACGGAATCTACAATGATCAAAGAGGTTGGTAATGAGCAAGCATGTTCCTGGCACGCCAAAACCTCACTCAGGACAGGACAAGCGAATCGGCCGGTCTGCCAGCATGGTGCAAAGGGGACTAGAGCTGAAGGCACAGCAAAATGTGTTTTCATGTTCAAAGATACATAGATATTTATTTCATGAAGTCTTTTTTATTTTTATTTTTTTTTTAAAGGCAAGAGTTTCAACCCTACACATCCCTGCAGTTCGATAATAAGAAATCGGGTGATTCAGTATTGTGTACACACTGAGAAGCCCCGGGTAAGACCCCCGACCAGAACTGACTCTACAGTAAGCAGTGGCTCAGGATCTGCGCCTGTGGCTGGAAGGTTGCCGGTTCAAATCCCGCGGCCGGCAGAGGAATCCTACTCTGTTGGGCCCCTGAGCAAGGCCCTTAACCCCAGGTGCTCCAGGGGCGCCGTATAAATGGCTGACCCTGCGCTCTGACCCCCAGCTTCTCTCTCCCCGTCTGTGTGTCTCATGGAGAGCAAGCTGGGGTCTGCGAAAAGACGAATTCCTAATGCAAGAAATTGCATAGGGCTAATAAAGCGATGTTGTGATGTTATGTTATGTGAATCCAGTGAGCAACACTGCGTTTCACTCGTTCAGCGTTACCCACTCCGAGCATTGCAGCGACATGTGGGCGCATTCTGCACCCCGCTGCGCAGCTCCGTCCCACAGGGCCGGTGCAGGACGGGCTGTCTACGGCTGCACCGCTTTTTTAAGTTGCACACCTTGGTTTGGAAAACGAATTCATCTTTAAATTGCTTTGGGCACGCAGAGACGCCGATTTAACCCAGCCTGCAGGTGTCAGAGGGGAGGTGAGGAGCACCTGATCCCACAATTGTTTAAAGGAAAGAGACGCAGGATTACAATCTACATCTACAGCGACCCGCACTCGAGCACGAATATTACACATGCTCTTCACAGCCCCTCCAATCTGTCATTCCCACGAATGGAAAAACAAATCTACATCGTTTTTTTTAAAGCTTCTTTTTAAAAAACTACAAGACAGGAGGATCATAGTATCTATTCCAGCGGTGTGTGGCCAGTGAGCACGCAGATCTTCCTAAAAGATGATTCTGTCTTGCACAAAAACTTCTCGGGCTTTCATCAGTTCACATCCCGGTGCTTTTATTTTTCTGAAAACTTAACAAATTCCCTCCGGACTCTTCCACAAAAAGGCTACAAATAGAAATGCATTTGTCAAACTGGAAGCCTGTGAAACTGTCAAAATGCTCAAGGTAATTATTTCAGAGCCAGACGTATACCAGCAGGACAAAGAGAAAGAGATTTGAGCCGGATCTGTAAAAATAAAACTGGTGATAAATCTGTGCCTCAGGCAGGCTGAAGCACAATTCACACTGACCACACTGTCAGAGCTGACCTAGATTTAAACAGGCAGATTCAGGACAGGGTTAATAAATTTATGTAAGTTAATTCAGAGTAGCAATGACATCTTTTTAGGCATTTGTTTAAAGCAGCACCATCTTGTTGGTCATACTCGACAAGCAGGTATCATCTTCTGAATTCTATATCTGAATTATCGCAATAATAGGTGATGGCGAAGGTTTTGCATCCATGGAATGTTAAAAGAATAGATTTATGTTGTTTTCAATACTTTTTGTGTTTTTTTTTTATTCTGTGTGTGTGGTGTGTGTGGAAATGAAGAGCAGGGTATTACAGCACTTCAACTCTCCAGTGTTTTGAACACAATCATCGTATGTAAACAAGAAACGTTTCGAGCAATATGCCATTCAGGTGTCAGGAGGTCCAGATTCATCTCTAGTACATGCAGAGCCTTTTTTTACACTGCAGAACTAGCATTCTAATTAAAAAGCATAAGTCTGCCAAACGAATCTATGAACAAACAAGCAAACTCTACTTCTTCATGTTTTCACCTTTTACATACGATATTCAAATTCTTTTATATTCTAAATGTCGCTAACTTTCAGGCAGGGTAAGTCACAGAAAGTAGGGAAAACAACAGAAATTAACGAACAGCTCATGACTATCCAGAAAACCAGGTACCAAGGAAAACCCAAGAAACCTGCACAGAGTCTAGTGCCCCTCAAGGCTATTAACCCATCTATTCTAGTGAAGAGCCCATTAAAGTATAACCCCCATT